TAAACTTCCGACTTCAACTGTATGTTGTACAGACTGCCAAAGCCTCATCACATAACTCAGAGCATTAGGAACAGAGTCTGTGTCCCAAATGGCAACCTATTCCCTATATAGTCCACTACTTTTGACCAGGGCCCATAGGGTGCCATTTGGGACACAGCCAGAGACAGTACACCACAGGGATATACAGTATAATGATATCAATGATAATGAATGAAAGTGTCTGGTTGGCCAGCCACATGGGCTTTGTGTCAACATTAACATCAGGCACAATCAGGTGAGGTCCAACCCAACACTAAGGGAGGAATCAACATTTTCATAAATCATTTCAAGGTGTCATCTTAAGTTTACGGGCTGGCAGTACATGACCAAAGGTATGTGTACACCTGCTCGTCGAACATCTCATTCGAAAATCATGGGCATTAATATGGAGTTGGTCCCGCCTTTGCTGCTATAACAGCCTCCACTCTTCTGGGAAGGCTTTCCACTAGATGTTGGAACATTGCTGCGGGGACTTGCTTCCATTCAGCCACAAGAGCATTAGTGAGGTCCGTCATTGATGTTGGGCGATTAGGACCAAATGTGTTCGATGAGGTTGAGGTCAGGGCTCTGATCAGGCCAGTCAAGTTCCTCCACACTGATCTCGACAAACCATTTCTGTATGGACCTCGCTTTGTGCACAGGGGAATTGTCATGCTGAAACAGGAAAGGGCCTCCCCAAACTGTTGCCACAAAGTTGGAAGCACGGAATCGTCTAGAATGTCATTGTATGATGTAGCATGAAGATTTCCCTTCACTGGAACTAAGGGGCTTAGCCCGAACCATGAAAAACAGCCCCAGACCATTATTCCTCCTCCACCAAACTTTACAGTTGGCACTATGCATTTGTGCAGGTACCGTTTTCCTGGCATCCTCCAAACCCAGATTTGCCTGTCGGACTGCCAGATGGTGAAGTGTGATTCATCACTCCAGAGAACGCGTTTTCACTGCTCCAGAGTCCAATGGCTTTGAGCTTTACACCACTCCAGCTGACGCTTGGCATTGCGCATGGTGATCTTAGGCTTGTGTGCGGCTGCTCGGCCATGGAAACCCATTTCCTGAAGCTCCCGACTAACAGTTCTTGTGCTGACATTGCTTCCAGAGGCAGTTTGGAACTCGGTAGTGAGTGTTGCAACCGAGGACAGACAATGTTTACGCTCTACGCGATTCAGCTCTCGGTGGTCCCATTCTGTGAGCTTGTGTGGTCTACCACTTCACAGCTGAGCCTTTGTTGCTCCTAGACGTTTCCACTTCACAATAACAGCACTTACAGTTGTCCGGGGCAGCTCTAGCAGGGCAGAAATTTGACGAATTGACATGTTGGAAAGGTGGCATCCTATAACGGTGCCACGTTGAAAGTCACTGAGCCCTTCAGTAAGGTCATTCTACTGCAAATGTTTGTCTATGGAGATTGCATGGCTCTGTGCTCGATTTTTTACACCTGTCAGCAACGGGTGTGGCTGAAATAGCCGAATCCACTTATTTGAAGTGGTGTCCACATACTTTTGTATATACTGTATAGTGTACCATGCACAGGTAAATTGCCTTTGAATTGCACAGACAATGCAAAGAAGCACTGTGAGGATTTCACTTTATATACTTGTTATCTACCTTTTCTATCTTTATGGTTACAAAATGAGAACAACCTTTTTCCAAACAGTGATCATCATAGTACCGTAAGAATTTAACTACAGTGCAAATCACTGACATTTTAGTAAACAGGCTTTTAGACAGATATCCATGAAGAATAGCTGAAAATGAGTCTATTTAGTTAGTCACTCATGAACGCTCTTCTATCAGCTTGGTAAGTGTAATAATTAGCAGCGTAACAAGTTTTTCCCTCCTCCCTAATGTGCGTCTCTATAATTGGTCCCATCATGTGGCACAGTCAGCCCCATAGAACAAAGGGTTCCCAAAGAATGGGGGGGGGGGGGGGGGGGGGGGGGGGGGGGGGGGGTGGCATGCTAAACCCTGCAGAACCCCATGCCACATTGACAAGCAGGAAGATTTTACATATGCTGACAGACTTGTCCCTTCCAAGGGTGGAGCATTAGGCACTTCATTAAACCAACATCAATATCTGCTGATGGAAGAAAAAAAAAGGAGCAGGCCTGAACACTGGGAGACACTATAGTGAAATGACAGAGGGCTGTAACGTTCAATCTCATTTTATGGGAGAGTATTATTTAAATGGAAATTCATAGGAGATGGGGCATACATACCGGAGTACTAGTGTCTGAATATTGCCTTGTGTGTCTGTCACTAGATAGTCTGCATGCAGCAATTGGTTTCCACAAGCTGTTCACCCGAATATCAGCTGCCAGCATTTGTCTCCCTCTGGGATTGTTCAAGCAAAAATGTTGTTGATGTTTTGACAAAACTGCTTTATCATTTTTCGAGTGTGATTATGCTATTTTATAGCTGGTGGTATAGTAAATTGTTGTAATAATGCTAATTATTCATCCTTGAATGACTGTTGTTTTACCAACTTTACCAAGGGGATCCTACAATCAGTTACAGTGTCAGGCACAGGTGACATATCTGTGGATTCAGCAACAAGGCAGATAGGATATCTATCTAGAGTGGTGGTTTAGAGTTCATTGCATTATAATTCTCTGAATTAATTATCTGATTCTGTTAAAGAGGCTAAATCCCCCATTCAATTTGATGCGCTGCTCATTTAGCTGAGAACTGGGATGGAAAGCGGCTGGGTGGGGTCGGGGTTCAGTGGTGTGTGAGGGTAGGGGTCCACTCTGGGAGGTGTGGTCCTGACCAGATGGGCCTTTCAGTGGCCTAGTAAGAGGAGTCCTCACATGGCAGAAGAGACTGCAGGATCTCACAGGACCAAGACAGGGAATCCAGGTGGCCACAGTCCCTCCTGACCAGCTGGAGAAGCGATGGGCCATCTGACACATGGATGGAAAATGAAACACTTTTATTTTGCTGCTGCTGCTTTGTGTTGTCAATGCCTCGCATCAACACAAAAGCCCAGGCCAATCAAGGAATTTATCCAACGAAGCTAGCAGAACATTTCTTAGTTGCACTCAGATATTCAGGGTCGTTGTCAAGCAAAGCGAAACATTTGAATGCCCAAAACGAAAAAGGAGCCAACTTTGATATAAAATAAAAATTACATAGAGAAAAAAAATCTGATTCACCTTCAACTAAATGTAATACTTTATCCAGAACTAACCTTTGACAATTTCCCTTTTATATAATAACATCCACTAATGATGAAATAGCTTGGGCTTATTTATTGTCAATGATGTGATTAATTCATCACAGTAATTTCAGAAAAAGTGGTTTTCCTTTCCTCAAATCCAAGTGAGAAAGTCGCATCAGCTCTTCACCTGATCCTCATCTGATCCTCAGCTGACCTGGACTCCCGGAGGCAGGGTGGGGGTAATGGAGGCAGGGTGAGGGGAATGGAGGCAAGGTGGGGGTAATGGAGGCAGGGTGGGGGTAATGGAGGCAGGGTGGGGTTAATGGAGGCAGGGTGGGGTTAATGGAGGCAGGGTGGGGGGAATGGAGGCAGGGTGGGGGGGAATGGAGGCAGGGTGGGGGGGAATGGAGGCAGGGTGGGGGGGAATGGAGGCAGGGTGGGGGGGAATGGAGGCAGGGTGGGGGTAATGGAGGCAGGGTGGGGGTAATGGAGGCTCTTGAAAGCTTTCACACTGACACACACAAACATAGAGATATAAAAGCCTTTATACAAGCAGTGTTAAATAGACAAAGAGTAATTAAATGTATTTTGTGTTGATAAGAGAATCTGCTGGGATGCCTGAGGAACGCAAATAATAGTTTTTTCTGACATGGTCTACTACCGCCATCTAGTGTTACAATCTGAAACATTCTAAATACAGCAAACACCAGTGGGTTCAGCAGAGTGACCGTGATATACACTGAGTGTACAGAACATTAAGAACAACCTCCTAATATTGAGTTGCACCCCCCCTTTTGCCCTTAGAAAAGCCTAAATTTGTCGGGGCATGGACTCTACAAGGTGTCAAAAGTGTTCCACAGGGATGCTGGCCCATGTTGACGCCAATGCTTCCCACAGTTGTGTCAAGTTGGCTGGATGTCTTTTGGGTGGTGGACCATTCTTGATACACACGGGAAACTGTTGAGCATGAAAAACCCAGCAGCGTTGCAGTTCTTGACACAAACCAGTGTACCTGGCATCTACTACCATACCCCCGTTCAAAGGCACTTCAATATTTTGTCTTGCCCATTCACCCACTGAATGGCACACATACACAATCCATGCCTCAAGGCTTAAAATTCCTTCTTTAACCTGTCTCCTCCCCTTCACCTAGACTGATTAAATTGGATTTAACAAGTGACATCAATAAGGTTTCCCCTGGATTCACCGGGTGAAAGAGCAGGTGTTCTTAATGTTTTGTACACTCAGTGTAAATCTAAGGTTAATTCAATAATCAACATTTTCATGGAGCTATCATTAGTAATTACAAACCAAAGATGAATCTGGATTCTGCTTGTCTCCTTAAATTCCCAATTATTCAACAGTAATGGTTTTAAAACCATACATTTGAAATAAGATAAGGTTATGAGGCTTATAACGCAGATATTTACAACAATTGCTGCAACACCCTTGAGTGTGGGTTGTGAATCATACTGCATAAAAATACAATTATTAACTGAACAACAGTTTGAAATGTTATACTTTACTCCATTGATCCAGGTGGATTACTTTCTCACCACAGGGTGCCCTTGAAGACATGCTTAGAGTCCAATCTCTAATCTGAGGGCAGATACGTCATTGTCCAGTCATTGTCTTTTCCCTGACCCCACATTATTCACACATCACCCCAGTGGGTACAGGTACTAGCAGGTACTAGCGTCCTGTCCAGGGGGTGTACTTGTACATCAAGCTGCCTCGCACTACAGAAACAAGAGATAGGCTCCTGCCCTATGGGCCGTTCTGACTCGGACAAGGCTACTTACCAGCGGGTATGTTAGTGTCTCAGGTATAAGTCATCATCATAAAGGGCACTTGGTGTTGCAGAAGTCTCCTGACTCGAACAGGTTGCAGACATTGACCAAAGGGAACATAATGGCAGAGCCGAGCAGAGAGCCTGTCTGTGCCGCTGCTCCACACCACACCAGGGCGCTGTGGCTCTCGTCCCTCAGGATGACACCCACCATTACCTTCACATAGGACAGGGTCCCCGTGAAGAAGACCCACGACAGGACCTGAGGATTACATTGTGACTTTATTAGTCAGGCTTATGCAACACGTACTACTCAAACGCACTATTAAAGTGTAAGAATTCAAGTGCCCTAGCGCGACATACATACCTGATTCTATACTAATCAAAGGTTTGATGATGAGTTGATTAGTGGAATCAGATGTGTAGTGCTAGGGGGAAAACAAAAATGTGCACTCCCAGGGTTTCCCAGCACCAACCCATGGGTGCACGTTTTGTTTTTTTGCCCTAGCACAGCTGATTCAAATCAAAGCTTGATGATGAGTTGGTTATTTCAATCATCTGTGTAGTGCTAGGGCAAAAACCAAAACGTGCACTGAGGGGGGACCGCAACAACTTTGTTACCTTTGCTTTTCTTGAATACCAAGGATCAATAACTGTGATAGTTTGATAGATAAGTCTTAGAAAGTGTATCTGGACTGAGGCCTATCTCTACAGGTGGAGGTGTCACTCACTATGATGGCTTCTCCCAGCGCAGAGCCTTGTAGTAGTGGACATGGACTCATGGCGGCCATGGCCATGTTGTATCCTCCAAAGACTGAGCCCAGGAGACACAGTACACCCAGCAACACCAGTGACCTGAGCACAGGACAGGAAACCAGAAAACAGTTAGCTAACTGTATATATGAAGGAAGTCATTCAACATTTAGATAACCACTGAGATAGCTGCAGTGATGGGTAGCTGAATGTCTTGTATGTCAGTGTACACACAATATATATGTTCACCTGAGAATGCTGTAAAAAATGTTTACTTATTTAACAGCAGGAAGCAATTTCTGCACATAATGCTATCAAAACTTAAATAATTATACATATTGATTTGAGTGTATTTCCATAAATGTTTGTTGTTGCTTTATCGTCAATAAAAGAGGAAAGCTTGAGGCTATTTGGGGTTTTACCTTTTAGGAAAGAACAGGGCGACTATACAGGCCACTGGGTTGGCACAGGATGCCAGAGCAGCCGACAGGTGATAAGCCAGGTTACCGTAGGGCATACAGGAGTACGTCTGCACCGAGGGCAACAGGCCGTTGGTCGCCCCGTTCACACAAACCACCATGAAATAGATAAAAGCTAACTGATAAACAGAGTGGCCTGGTTTAGCCAGCTGTGGCCTAGCCTGACCTGATTCCTCACTGTGGTGTTTTGGGTTCGAATTCTGCTCGTCGGTTACCACTCCAGGGTTGTCAAGACCAGAGCAGACCGACGCCACTGTGTCAGTGTCTGGAACCAGGTTCTCTGTGGACAGTTCAAAGGTGCGTGGGAGCCTGTTGAGGGCAGAGAACGCCACCAGGCTGATGCACATCATCGCCGCCAGGAAGAAGAAAAACACCTCGGTGGAAAAGTTGGACTGTAGATACTGGGTCTGGACAATGTACATGTCCTTTTCAGAAAGGTTACCAGAGGACTGAGTGCCATTTACACACTTGGCCATGCCGACGCCCTGGGCAAGAGCCACCAGACCAGGGATAAAGCCACTCAGGCCCTCTCCAATGAAGTAGGTGGTGATGTAGTTGGCTGGCAGCTGCATCATGAAGGGCAGGAAGGTCACAGAGGAAGTACAATCCACCAAGGCCAGGAAAAGGGTTAGAATAAAGAAGACCGTGCTCCGTGGCGCCGCTGCCACCACCGTGGTCTCATCCCAGAAGAACGCCAACAGCACACAGGCCAGGACGCCGATGAACAACACACTGTAGATGACAGCGCTCTCCCTCAGCCGGCCCGGACACAGCTTGTGCATGACAGTGACCAGCAGAGGCCCCAGGTTGGCCAGCTGGATGATGACTGTCAGGTAGGATGGTAGTTCCCAGCCCTCGGGGAGGGTGTTGACAATGAGGGGGAGCTCCACCCACAGGCCGTTGACAGCCACCCAGGAGCCCAGGCCGAAGCAGCAGGCCAGAACATGGATCAGCAGAGACATGGCTGTATTGTATCTGGTCCCCGTCAGGTCAGGTGAGGTGAGGTAGTCTTCTGGAGGAACTTCAGATCTGAAGTGAAGATATATCTGATTGAACAGTTTCAACCCGGCCAGCCTTCAGAGCCTAGAAAAAGAGGAAACTAAAGATTTCATTAAGAAATATTTAAAGTTAGTAGCGGTGCGCGGGTAAAATCACTGGGGAATCCAAGCCGGAAGAAAATGCCATATTTCAACTTATGTGTTGTGATAATTGCGTTGTTTGTTCTATAACCTGTTAGTGCATATGCCTTGCCACCATGCTATATACAGTGGGGGAAAAAAGTATTTAGTCAGCCACCAATTGTGCAAGTTCTCCCACTTAAAAAGATGAGAGAGGCCTGTAATTTTCATCATAGGTACACGTCCACTATGACAGACAAATTGAGATTTTTTTTCCCAGAAAATCACATTGTAGGATTTTTAATGAATTTATTTGCAAATTATGGTGGAAAATAAGTATTTGGTCACCTACAAACAAGCAAGATTTCTGGCTCTCACAGACCGGTAACTTCTTCTTTAAGAGGCTCCTCTGTCCTCCACTCGTTACCTGTATTAATGGCACCTGTTTGAACTTGTTATCAGTATAAAAGACACCTGTCCACAACCTCAAACAGTCACACTCCAAACTCCACTATGGCCAAGACCAAAGAGCTGTCAAAGGACACCAGAAACAATATTATAGACCTGCACCAGGCTGGGAAGACTGAATCTGCAATAGGTAAGCAGCTTGGTTTAAAGAAATCAACTGTGGGAGCAATTATTAGGAAATGGAAGACATACAAGACCACTGATAATCTCCCTCGATCTGGGGCTCCACGCAAGATCTCACCCCGTGGGGTTAAAATGATCACAAGAACGGTGAGCAAAAATCCCAGAACCACACGGGGGGACCTAGTGAATGACCTGCAGAGAGCTGGGACCAAAGTAACAAAGCCTACCATCAGTAACACACTACGCCGCCAGGGACTCAAATCCCGCAGTGCCAGACGTGTCCCCCTGCTTAAGCCAGTACATGTCCAGGCCCGTCTGAAGTTTGCTAGAGTGCATTTGGATGATCCAGAAGAGGATTGGGAGAATGTCATATGGTCAGATGAAACCAAAATATAACTTTTTGGTAAAAACTCAACTCGTCGTGTTTGGAGGACAAAGAATGCTGAGTTGCATCCAAAGAACACCATACCTACTGTGAAGCATGGGGGTGGAAACATCATGCTTTGGGGCTGTTTTTCTGCAAAGGGACCAGGACGACTGATCCGTGTAAAAGAAAGAATGAATGGGGCCATGTATCGTGAGATTTTGAGTGAAAACCTCCTTCCATCAGCAAGGGCATTGAAGATGAAACGTGGCTGGGTCTTTCAGCATGACAATGATCCCAAACACACCGCCCGGGCAACGAAGGAGTGGCTTCGTAAGAAGCATTTCATGGTCCTGGAGTGGCCTAGCCAGTCTCCAGATCTCAACCCCATAGAAAATCTTTGGAGGGAGTTGAAAGTCCGTGTTGCCCAGCGACAGCCCCAAAACATCACTGCTCTAGAGGAGATCTGCATGGAGGAATGGGCCAAAATACCAGCAACAGTGTGTGAAAACCTTGTGAAGACTTACAGAAAACGTTTGACCTGTGTCATTGCCAACAAAGGGTATATAACAAAGTATTGAGAAACTTTGGTTATTGACCAAATACTTATTTTCCACCATAATTTGCAAATAAATGCATTAAAAATCCTACAATGTGATTTTCTGGAATTTATTTTCTCATTTTGTCTGTCATAGTTGATGTGTACCTATGATGAAAATTACAGGCCTCTCTCATCTTTTTAAGTGGGAGAACTTGCACAATTGGTGGCTGACTAAATACTTTTTTTCCCCACTGTAGGCCTAAGGCTGAGACAATAAGAAGACACAGTGGTAGAATAAATTCCATCACACTGGAGAGTAACCTCTGTTCGGTGAAGTCCACAAAGCATATTGCATGTAACAAACAGTTACATGACCTACAGCAAGTTAATGTTTCCGACATTTTCGGACTACTAAACTAAACTACTATTGAGTTAGAACCAAGGAGTTACCATGAGTTGCAAAGAAAACAGGAGCTCCCTCCACTATTCCAGAACCATTTCATCTTCAACATTTCAACATCATCAAATCACCTACTGTATGCTTAGTCTAATACAGTGATAACTAAAAGATACCAAAAACAATTTAGTCCAATCAACGTAAGCTAAATATGATGTGGCTGTCCATGGTTCTGATTTATGTGTGTGTGTGTGTGTGTGTGTGTGTGTATGCATGCATGCATGCAAGTAGAAAAAACATGTTGACTCACCCTAGGCCTACTTGTAGAGAAATGCCAATGCCATCCTCCTCTCTTTCATGTTGACGAAACGGTCTATGACTGTGTTATACAGTAAACGCTTTTAGTTTTTGTTGTCCTAGGCTACCTGGCTAGAATGCTTGCTCGCTAGCCTAACTTCCTTTCACGAGCAACGATGAGTCAGCTAGTTAAAATTAGCCTACTACATCTAGCTACATACAGAACTTCCATCCTCTTAGGGCCAGGGGCACAATGTATGAATTTATGGTTGGATCAGAATCGCCATTATAATTATTGGCCAGTATGGAGAATTAAGTAAAACCACAAGTCTAAATCCCTATCTCCATCCATGGCTAATTTAGGAAAGAGGCAATTTTTTGCTCTGGCACCCCAATGGTGGAACAAGCTCCCTCACGACGCCAGGACAGCGGAGTCACTCACCACCTTCCGGAGACATTTGAAACCCCACCTCTTTAAGGAATACCTGGGATAGGATAAAGTAATCCTTCTACCCCCCCCCCCCCCAAAAAAAAATAATAATAATAATAATTGTGAAGTGGTTTTCCCACTGGCTATAGGGTGAATGTACCAATTTGTAAGTCGCTCTGGATAAGAGCGTCTGCTAAATGACGTAAATGTGCCCTTGAGCAAGGCACTTAACCCTAATTGCTCCTGTAAGTCGCTCTGGATAAGAGCGTCTGCTAAATGACTAAAATGTAAATGTAAATGTAGGTAGCTAGCTAGCCACTGGAGGACAACGACACAATGAGATGCAACAATTCAAAAAAAATCCTGTCAATTATATTTTGCTTTTGATGTGATGTGATTTGTGTGGAGCCAAATCCAAACTGGCTTCCATTTACATTTACATTTTAGTCATTTAGCAGACGCTCTTATCCAGAGCGACTTACAGGAGCAATTAGGGTTAAGTGCCTTGCTCAAGGGCACTTCGACAGATTTTTCACCTAGTCGGCTCGGGGATTAGAACCAGCGACCTTTCGGTTACTGGCACAACGCTCTTAACCACCAAGCTACCTTCCCTTTTGGTGCACCAGGACCATTTACAATTGCGCTCACTCAGTTTAGCTCAACGCTAATTGGCTATTATTGTATACTTTTTTTATTAAGGGAGGCTAAATGCTTGCTGGTTTCCCTTGCATTCAATGCTACGGACGGGCTATACCTACAGAGACAGAGGGATGCTGTTTCACTCACTCAGATGCTTTCTCCGGTGAGATACTGTACATTCAGCCTCTTGCGAACTGAAGGAAAATTATGAAACATATTGGGGGGAAACCTGGCTTCCCTTGGCATCCATGAATACACGCCACTGCTTAAAGACACTGCTGCTAAAACTATCAAACTAGATCGAGGATGAAATGAGTAAGACAATAATAATGTTAGTAAAAGTTTTAAGTTTTAGATGTGAGTATTATAGTACCAAATCTCTCTGAAAGGATCTATCAACAAGTAGGCCTAGCCCTAACCTAGACCAGGGGTTCCCAAACTTTTTCACTCAGGCTCCTCTTCCAGCATTGGGGAACACTGGAAAACTGCTGATACACTACCAATTTCGAAATTGCACCTTGTGCACTATTGCAAATTTAAGGAGTAAGTTGAAAGCTGGACTGAGTTCCTTTTTTTTTTTGTGCGCCCCACAGTTTGGGAACTGCTGGCCTAGACCATGACCATCGTTACGGTTTAACCAAGAGCAAATATCACATTGTTATTGTGGGTTTACCAAATCAAAGGATCCGTTTAGCCTTTTAGATCATAAAGAATAAGATTATATAGAAATATTCTAGATCAGCACTCCTACTCTGAGACTCTTTGTGGATACATGCCCTGTTATTGAATGTGCATACCTTTTGTCATTGGAATTTGATCTTTAACTTTTTACCCTACTGTTTTACACTTTAACTGTGAGTCATACAGGGTGAAGCAACCTGGCATAAGCAAATCTAGGTCAACTGGTTCAACTCTGATACTCTCTGTGTGCCCTGTAATGTATGCACAGGGTGTTGTTGCTCAAGGGTGCAAATGTCACACATCACACTTTGAAATGACTGCTTTAGTTAATTAGTTACACTTTGATTATCTAAATGTTATAATGTATGTTCAAGTTTTTAATAAATGTAAGTCAAGGACAACTACCTAACTAACTGTGTAGATGGAGTAGTGAGAATCAGATGTATTGTATTTTTCATTAATACACAGATGAGACCATGAAACCTTGAGACAATCCTAGCAATTGTAACAGAGAAGTATTTCAATCTACTCAACACATTCTTCTTACATGTCAAGCAGCTGAGGTCATTTTCACTTCCCTAACACATGGTCTAGAAACACAATGTACCATATGGCTGTCGGGGCCAGCCGGATGCCTAACTACGACCCAGATCACACAGGACACACATTTCTCAGAGGCCTCAACTCGTGACAATCCAAACCTTGAACTGGCTCAAGCTGCTGAACTTCACTCTCTGTACCCAAAGTAGCAAATGTTTCACTGTTCTCATTGTTCAGCTAAACATTTGATAAGTTTCATATCAACCATTTTCTGTAACGATGCCATGTATACACAATTCAGAATGACTATATTAGTCTTGAGAAATAATTTGCTTTTTATTTACTGGCTGTGGCTTTTAAGCAACTGGTGCTAATAGCATGTGTATTTTCGCATGACCACCTGCCCCTCAAAGCTCTGTATTAAAACTTTTACTTCGACTGAATTCTGGAACTCAAGTCTCCTTTTTTACCTTTACAAAGTTAACGTTGCTACTGTACAATGGAAAAGTCTAAGTGGGATCCTTGGGAAGTCTAAGTGGGAACCGACGTCACTTGAAATTTAAAACGGTCCATTGAAATGTTAAACGGTTAAGGTAAGGGTTAAGAGAAGGGTTAAGGTTAGGGGTTGGGGTTAAGGTTAGGGGTTATGGTTATGGTTATGGTTAGGGTTTAGGGCAGGGACGTCCCAAGGACCCTGCACAATTTGGTCTACATGGCCCTGCTCATTTCCTATCTCTGCTAGTGAAAATCAGACAGGCATTTAGCTTTCACACAGGATTTCATGATGTTGGGCCTAACAAACGAGACAATGTCAGAGCCAATACCATCACATACTGTGTATCTGGCTTACAAAGCACCAATGTGTTACAGTAATGTAGATGGTCAGTGTGAACTGCAAGAATCTTCACTTCATATTGATCACTATTATCCTTGTCAGGGGAACGGATAATCAGAATCTGCCTGAAAAAGACCTTTACAATACTGATTTGAAATTGATACACTTAAACTTCCATGATTGTTCCATTGCATGACCATAAGGCAATACTACATTTCCAATACAGCTCATAGGAATCAAGAAGATAAAAAAGTATACTCACAGGTTTCTTGAGCCACTGGATGGATGCCTTATTGACGAATCCAACATCCTCCCTCTCTCATCTTACATACAGACCTTTGGGACAATGCCACTGGCTTCTCCTTCACACAAAGGCTGGAGGAGAACTAGGGAACTAGTGCCTTGTGGGTAGTTCAGAGTCCAGTCCAGCAGTCAGCTCCACCGTGTAAGAGTAAACTCAACTGAGCAGCTGTGTCCTTTTTAAATCTGTACAACAGCCATAAAGTTAGAGACATAGTAGAGATGGGACGGCCCCTTTCCTCTGCCTGCCCAGCCCCGTTAGACTAACGGGAGATCTATGGTCCCTTATCTCATTACACAATTATATGAATGGGAAATTCAGGAAGAGAGCGAGGCTGCTTATATCAGTAGTCAGGTAATACAACCCAGGGTGTGTTTGTAAATGATTGGGCTGGGGTATGGTTATTTTAATCATTATGATAATATCCAATAAAAATCCATCTGTTTATTGACCTACCAAGTATACATTGATTAATACATGAGAGGACATCTACTCAACATCTTTGACCGATAATTACTCTGGTGAACATTGACGAGATTCACATGAACCTTTTACCAACAACAATAGTCCATGGGACAAATAACAATATCAGGGACCCCAATCACATTTTTTACATTTTACATTTTTAGTCATTTAGCAGACTTACAGTTAGTGAATACATATATATATTTTTTTTATACTGGCCCCCCGTGGGAATCGAACCCACAACCCTGGCGTTGCAAACGCCATGCTCTATCAACTGAGCTACATCGCTGCCGGCCATTCCCTCCCCTACCCTGGACGACGCTGGGCCAATTGTGCGCCGCCCATGAGTCTCCCGGTCGCGGCCGGCTGGGACAGAGCCTGGATCACCACTGGTGTTGTGTGTACTGTCCCTTTAATGAGATGACAAGTGCCTGGATTAGGACCTGTGCCGCTTCCTGTGTAAGGCAGGGTCGTACTCTCCGAATGTTGTAGAGCATGAACCTACAGGATCGGGTCACCGCCTTGATGTTAGCGGAGAACGACAGGGTGTTGTCCAGGGTCACGCCAAGGCTCTTCACACTCTGGGAGGAGGACACAACGGAGTTGTCAACCGTGATGGCGAGATCATGGAACAGGCAGTCCTTCCCCGGGAGGAAGAGCAGCTCCGTCTTGCCAAGGTTCAGCTTGAGGTGGTGATCCGTCATCCATACTGATATGTCTGCCAGACATGCAGAGATGTGATTCGCCACCTGGTTATCAGAAGGGGGAAAGGAGAAGATTAGTTGTGTGTCGTCAGCGTAGCAATGATAGGAGAGGCCATGTGAGGATATGACAGAGCCAAGTGACTTGGTGTATAGGGAGAATAGGAGAGGGCCTAGAACTGAGCCCTGGGGGACACCAGTGGTGAGAGCACGTGGTGCGGAGACAGCTTCTCGCCACGCCACTTGTTAGGAGCGACCGGTCAGGTAGGACGCAATCCAAGAGTGAGCCGCGCCGGAGATGCCCAGCTCGGAGAGGGTGGAGAGGAGGATCTGATGGTTCACAGTATCAAAGGCAGCAGACAGGTCTAGAAGGACAAGAGCAGAGGAGAGAGAGTTAGCTTTAGCAGTGCGGAGAGCCTCCATGACACAGAGAAGAGCAGTCTCAGTTGAATGACCAGTCTTGAAACCTGACTGGTTTGGATCAAGAAGGTCATTCTGAGAGAGATAGCAAGAGAGTTGGCTAAAGACGGCACGCTCAATAGTTTTGGAGAGAAAAGAAAGAAGGGATACTGGTCTGTAGTTGTTGACATCAGAGGGATCAAGTGTTGGTTTTTTGAGAAGGGGTGCAACTCTCGCTCTCTTGAAGACGGAAGGGACATAGCCAGCGGTCAAGGATGAGTTGATCAGCGAGGTGAGGTAAGGGAGAAGGTCACCGGAGATGGTCTGGAGAAGAGAGGAGGGGATAGGGTCAAGCGGGCAGGTTGTTGGGCGGCCTGCCGTCACAAGTCGCAAGATTTTATCTGGAGAGAGAGGGGAGAAAGAAGTCAAAGCATAGGGTAGGGCAGTGTGAGCAGGACCAGCAGTGTCATTTGACTTAACAAACGAGGATTCACTTTGTAAATGCTGAACTTTGAATATAGGATTGCCTCCTTTTGATGGATACTATTCCCTCTGATATTACTTCATAAGGAGCATAATAATTGTTATATTGTACCTGATAAGATCAATAAACTACCCACCTTAATTACTAACCACGTCCCCATCCACAGTTTTTATGCGAGTAAAGTCATAACGTAAAAAATATATATATCACAACAGCTATCGTAGTGTTGCCAACTTAGCGACTTTGTCACTATATTTAGCGAGTATTCAGACCCCTCTAGCGACACATTTTCAAAAAAGCGACTAGCGACAAATCTAGCAACTTTTTCTGGTGTTATTGGAGAATTTTGGAGACTCTGACGTGAAAGCACGTATCATTCTTACTCTTCTCAACCAGCAGCAGGTGCAGCCGGGGCCCACCCCCGTGACCCCAGTCCCAAAGCACAGCAGACCCTCCCAGCTGCAGTCAGAGCAGGAGTTGTTCACCCCTCCGCGACCAGACTGCAAATGAATCGCGCATGCAGGAAGTCGCCACTGGCTGATCCCGCCCTGGCTTACATTCAGGGCGGGATGTAAATGTAGGGTGTTTTTTACTCACTTTTTGTTCTCTCCCACGACGTAATTCCTCTCTCCTACAGCGTCCATCACAATTACATGCACATGGCAAATTATGCAAATTAGATGATGACGTCATTTAACGACTTTTAGTACAGCCAATAGCTACTTTCCTTACTGAGGAGTTGGCAACACTGCAGCTATTGAAACAGAAGTTTCGGTACAATTTTATAAATGCAGACAGATCATTCGTTCGTTTGAAAAGCTGGGATCTTTTTGTATCGGTCAAATTAATTATGTGAGAAATGGCGGTGGAAACGACATTATGCGCAAATGTTGGCTGGAACCTTATATTGATATAAGAACTATCATATCGAAGTACATTTGGAGTCAAGCGATGATATGGATTTGTGGTCCTCCCACTAGGACTCGTTAAACTATGCAGTATATTAGGCTACAGATGAAAAAATGTATGAACTTCACAGGGTGGTAAAAGTGCACGGTGATCTTGATGCTCCATTCCAATAAATATCGAGGGCCTTACTCTGGTAACATGATGATCGATGCTTGACTGCCGTTTAACAAAAACATTCTTGCTCTTATCCATAATAATCTCATTATGTAGACTAGCCTACCTGCACAGTATTTGCCAGCTGTTGGCAAGTGCCAAGACCAGACTAGGCACATTTGCTATTTAATGCAAACGTTTTTGAGAAAACTATGAGTAGAGTTGAAAATGCAATGGAAACACACTGAACTTTAGATTTTTATTCGGTACATGAAAACTTAAGCGAAAAAGTACATTTTGTGTGCACTACGTCATCACCCACTGATTTTTATCCACAACAAGTCAATTTGGTGGAAACACACCACTGGTGTGAACATTTTCTTTATGTGGATTGTAGAATATTCGCATGAAAATCTCTAGCCAATTTGATGGAAACCTAGCTAGTGATAGGGAAATATTCAGAAGACTGGTCACCCTATGATATTTACTGCATGTTTGGTAAGATCACTAAACGGGAACAGACAAACACTATACATAAGATCCCGTACAGACCAAGATAGTGTAAAAGTACAATCAATGTAGTTCCATAACCCATACTGACAGCGTATGAATGGCAAACTCAATGACACTAGCATTCTGAGACAAACATGGGAAATGCCTGCAGGGGGTTAGAACCATTGGAATCTAGACACTATACATACGTGTAAATGCATGATGCAAGAATTATGATAGGAAAGGGGAAGAAAACAACCTTATCATAAAGTTGTAAAGAAGACAGGACTATTGGTCAATTCTACTCTCCAACTAAGGACCAAAAGAGGTAGCCAATTCATTCAGAGGTTGTTAGCTTAAATGGTTGCAGGTTTTCTGGTGTGTGAATCCTTTCAGATGACAACTGTTATTATTATATTGTGTTTTACACCCAATGACACTTATGAACTAAAAATATTGTATTGTATAAGAGGCTAAATATCAGTGGTTGCCTCGGTCATGGCCATGTGAGTGTTGACTAAGGTGACAGCTTGAAGGGCTTACTACTTCAGGCATCTTGCTATAAGCTGCTGCAGTCACATGCATTTCCAGTGGAGGCCGTAAATAAATTGCTATACAAGTTACACATGCACAAAGCCCAAAAAAACACTCAAGAAATATTTGCACATATTTGTTGGGTCAAGCTCTCTTAATCAATGGGGAGGTAAATTGACTGGTTGAACTTTATGTTTAGAACCTGATAAGAAAAATGTATCTAACTTATATCTTGCACTGAACAAAATCCACAAATACCAGCATAATTGCTGGGGGGTTTTCTCTATTACAAAAAGGCAGCACACAACATGTACACTCAATAAGATTATTTATGTTATTGTACAATCTGCATTTATAACAAATAATAATAAAAAAAGATTAGTAAGATGTACAGTATTCGAATGATCAGGTCTGGTGTGGACCGATGACTAAGCCTACCTAGTCTTCTCTAGTCCAACCAGAGCTCCAGTGATGAAAGGGGAGGGGCCAGGGCCTGAGAATGTCGCATATAGAAGTGTTTGCTTGTTCGTGTGTGTCTGCATACGTGTGTTTGCACACACGTACGTCCCTATGTGTGTGCGCTTGAGTGTTGGCTGGCAAATTAATGAAAATAAGGAGGGAGGTGGTGGATGGGAGGAAAGGATGAACGCAAACAAAAGAGGGAAAAGGAGAAGGAGAGTAGTAGCATGGGCTCAGTTGGTGTAGATCTGGCCCTCTGGTGGCTGGGGGAGCTTCATGTTCTCCTTGCACATCATGAGCCGTCTGAGCTCCTGCAGGACCACACGGATACTGTAGGAGTTCTGCCACTTGGCCAGTGCAGACACTGCTCGTGTGTCAACCTGCAGGACAGGGAACAATGGAAGGAGAGAAACATTACATCACACCTCAATCACACTCTCACAAAACATGACTCGCAACTCTCTATATATATTTTGTAGGAATATCATGGTTGGCTTAAGTACTGGTTAGTTGTGACAAACATTATATTCAAAAAAAAAAATTGCTACATAACCTGGCAAAAATAGTTCATTTTTGTATGGATATAAAATGTAAATATAAAAAGTATACATAAATGCAACCTCTGGAATAGCCTATCCTGCGGAACCTACATCCTATACGATCATGCAGAACTACATTTAGTATGTTCAAGCAAAGTATTGCCGTCTGAAATGTCACATGCAATAAGAGTCCATTGACATTTCCTCAGTCTAATGTGACCTAAACATAGTAGGCATTACCAGTCATCCAACTGCATGTTAGCCCTGCACTGAAATCCATATCTTATTATAGGAGCCAGGGGCAATTTAATCAAGTCACTCACTTCAATAAAAAATCAAATCCTTAAACATACCTACAAAAAATATCTACAACACAAATGAGACTGTGAGTATTAGCTATTTTACAACATCTTTCTTCACAGATTGAAACATTTTGAAGGACAAACAGATTTACATACCACACCATTGGAGTTGTGCACACCATTCAAGTTTATCTTAGTCACAAATCTGACAAACGGTGGTGCCTCTGGATATCTGGGCCCACATTCAACCTTCAGACTGTACATCCTATTTTCATAGATTGTCTGAAAAATGACATACAAAGACATCAGTGAGAATGGGTTTAGCATTATGTTTATAGCTCCACCTTGCCCCTTTGATAGGCTAGGTCAGGTCAGGGGTGTCAAACTCAAGCCGCATTCGGTCTTCACCGAGGTCCGGAGGGCCGTACATATAATCAATTTTATTTCCTTGCAGGCAAACATTAGCAAAAAATAGTCCTCTATCCATTGCTTTTGGAATTTTAAATGCTCCCCGACAGTCCAACTTTTGTTTCGATGACTGTTAGCAAGCTGGACAGAATGAATGCAGGTCCATTGTAAGTTCTTTACAGTTTCGATTTGGATTTAGTCATTTCAATATCGATTAAGATTGTCCCCCGCAAATATACATTTACTGACAAACAATATTGCATTCTTTGTTTTATCAAACCCACGGGCCGTATGATTGACACCCCTGGGCTAGGTGGAATTTTTGACATATTGATTACACCTGTCCAATCCTCTCAGACCTCCACAAGTGCCTAGTGGGGTAGGTACTAAGGGTTGTTTCTGGACAAGGCCAGTGAGCCAAACTTGGTGGCCTGTGAATCAGAGTAGCCGACTCACCCTAGGAGGGCCAATGATCATCCCTCTCCATCTTGTTAAGGTCATGTCCTCATCATCTTCCAAGCCCCAGCTCACTGTCCCATCCCCCACACCTTTCTGGCCTTCTTCCAGCTCTTCAAGCAGCCGGAAGTTACGAGGAACCTTAACGCCTGTTTAAGTGTGCGACACACAAGCACAGAAAACAGAAATGATTGAAATACCACACAAGACAAAACAAACAGTATATCCCATTAAGTGTACAAAACATTTTCATACATCTTTTCAGCTCTTTCCATGACAGACTGACCAGGTGAATCCAGGTTAAAGCTATGATCCCTTATTGATGTCACTTGTTAAATCCACTTCAATCAGTGTTGATGAAGGGGAGGAGACAGCTTAAAGGATGTTTAAGCCTTGAAACAATTGAGACATGGATTGTGCATGTGTGCCATTCAGAGGGTTTTTGGGCAAGACAAAATATTTAAATGCCTTTGAACGGGGTATTGTAGTAGGTGCCAGGTTTGAGTGTGCCAAGAACTTCTGTTTTTTTCATGCTCAACAGTTTCCCGTGTGTATCAATAATGGTCCAACACCCAAAGGACATCCAGCCAACTTGACAACTGTGGGATGCATTGGAGTCAACATGGGCCAGCATCCCTGTGGAACGCTTTCGACACCTTGTAGTCCATGCTCCGACGAATTGAAGCTGTTCTGAGGGCAAAAGGGGGTAAAACTCAATATTAGGAAGCTGTTCCTAATGTTTAGTACACCCAGTGTATATGTCAGAAGATACACACCAGGGCAAACTTTTTGATTCTTCTATAGCACCCTTTGAATACAAGTTAGTGGTGGCAACTATTATACATTACATTTACATTTTAGTCATTTAGCAGACGCTCTTATCCAGAGCGACTTACAGTTAGTGAGTGCATACATTATTTTAATTTTCATACTGGCCCCCCGTGGGAATTGAACCCACAACCCTGGCATTGCAAACGCCATGCTCTACCAAATGAGCTACATCCCTGCCGGCCATTCCCTCCCCTGGACGATGCTGGACCAATTGTGCACCGCCCCATGGGTCTCCCGGTCACGGCCGGCTGCGACAGAGCCTGGATTCGAACCAGGATCTCTAGTGGCACAGCTAGCACTGCGATGCAGTGCCTTAGACCACTGCGCCACTCGGGAGACTTATAGATGCACTTGCCAGGTTGTGTCTGTTTTTTGATGATTGCAAGCCATTCAAGATGAGGGATGGGCTAACTGACAGTAAAACCAGTCGAGCGTGTGCCACTGACCAGCCATTGGTCACATCATCTGTCCATCACACCTGTACCTGGTCCATTGACAAATAGCCTAGCAGTAGCCAATACGAGACTGCTATAAAGCCAGATTCCGCTTCCTACCAGTCTACCCACATGTACATATTACCTCAACTAGCCGGTGCCCCCGCACATTGACTCTGCACTGGTACCCCCCTGTATATAGCCTCCCTACTGTTATTTTACTTCTGCTCTTTTTTTCTCAACACTTTTTCATAAAAAAATGCATTGTTGGTTAAGGGCTGTAAGTAAGCATTTCACGGTAATGTCTACACCTGTTGTATTCGGCGCATGTGGCAAATACAATTTGATTTGATTCCTTCAAGCAGCTCCAGAGAACGGCTGTTGTTCATAAACATCTGAACTGCACTCAACATCTGTCCATAAACCTGTAGATAGGCCTACAGAAGTTAGCTGGTGAGAGTTTCGCATGAGACAAGTTATGAGTATAGCACAGGGCAACAGTGCATCACAAAGTTATTAGTGGGTTACACGCGGCTCCTTAGTGAGTTTGATATTGGGTCCAGAGGTGAGCAATAATTCAGGGCAGATTTAGTGAGTCGACCCATTTACACTGAGCTTCTAGGAATGATCCGCTAAATTCCCAGTCTAGGTTATCTGGTCGGTCTGAATGGGGTATATGTGTGGCATTTACCTGCCATTTTACCTATTACAGCATTACTACTTGTTTTGTTTTTGGCAATAATACTGATTGTTACTGTACAATAAGACTTTGCAGCTGTTTAACATCATTTATTTGTCTGTCTTTATAGAGACCACTCTGCATCAATTACCCCACTATCACTGCCCAATGTAATTACAATAAAGCCGCTGACTATTTTGAGTTTTTCATTGATTAAAGTATATAGCTACAGTAGCTAGCTAGCTAATTCAAACGAACGTTACTGGCCTTTATTATTAGAGTACAAATTGGAGGCGTGGATTGACGTAATGTGGACGGTAAAAGCAATCCGGATAAATGTGTGGGTTGCTAACTAGCCAATTCTCGCTAGTTAACGTTTGCTATTTCAGTTCATTGGTCAAAACGGGTCTGGCCTAAATTCAGATGAGTGAGCTAACGTTAGCTAGATGATTGATCGCATTAGAAAGCTGATATTGCCATCTTGCCAAGGTAAGCTAGATAGTTAGCTAACTAATACAAGTCAAATGAATGTGACTGACAAGTTAGCTAAAGTTAGATCACGAAATCACTACAGTAACCAATCGAGTCGTTATCTGACTAGTTAACTACGCTAGCAAACCAGCGAACAACAAATAGCTACTAGTAATGTAGCTAACGTGTCCTGACAACATGCAACACAAGCCAGCCAGTTCGAGCTGTTCCTGCGACTAGCTAATAATGGACATGGCTGGTAGCTTTCTTGCCAATGACGTTCTGGCTGCGGAAGCTAGAAGCTAGCTAACAGGCTAAAAACAACGCTTGATGAATGACGCGGCATTTGATCAGTCGACACAGGTTGACGAGCTATTTTGCCATGTCAACGGAGTTAGATTTAGCATTAAATATATGGGTAACTATGCATGGAGAGGTTTTCCAACGGAATTTGCCATGTCATGTTAGCTTCAATTCACTAGAACTTGCAAGAAAAAAAGCCTTGTCAGCTGGCAGATAGGTGATAGCTAACTTAGGTAGCTGGCCGCTAACTTAGGTAGCTGGCACTATACATAGCCATGTTTTGGTCAAATAAGCAGTACTTGAGCATTTCTGGAAAGTATATTGTAACATGGAACGCATATACACTATCAGCAAACGTTTCTTTGAATTTTACACGAAATTAGTAATGTGCTAACTAGTCATTTATTTAGCTGAACCGTTTACCTGATCCGGCGGCGACCGCCATCTTGTCACTTAATAGCGGGAGCGCGCACGTAAGCATGGTTGGGAGCGGAGAGATGGGAACGCGCTTGCTTGAGGTTAATTGATATTGATAATAATAATAATAATAATAATAATAAGCCATTTAGCAGACGCTTTCATCCAAAGCGACTTACAGTCATGCGTGCATACATTTTTGTGTATGGGTGGTCCCGGGGATCGAACCCACTACCTTGGCGTTACAAGCGCCGTGCTCTACCAGCTGAGCTACAGAGGACCACCATCTAGTATAAATTCATCCACAGATCAGATTTACCCACCCCAAATCATAACCAAAAAGGCGATTAAACATATCTGATCCTGGACCAGTGGTTAGGGGCAACTTGTTCCCAACACTCAATGGGGGTCAGATATTTTTGATTTACCTAGAGACCACTGTGGTAGTTAGACAATGGCATAGCTATATTTCAAAGAAATATAATAGCATAATATTTAAAATGACTAAAACCAAATTGAAACTGTACAATTAATGGACCTACATTCATAGCGAGCTGGACACAGTCAAGAAACTAATGAAAGCTAGACAGTCAGGGAGCCTTAAATCCCCAAAACGATGGATAGAGGACTATTTTTAGCAAATGTTGACTGCGAGGAAATATAACCAATGTCGCACTACATCGTACCATCTTGTTTTGTTTTTTTATTTAGTTTCTTTATAAATATAATATAAATTGTAACATTAGTCTTCCACATGGAAGACAACAAAGGCATTGTTTCTGATATCTAAAATTCCATCATTAGCTACTAACATCCACAAGATTCATATCAGAGAAAAGATTAGACGGATTTTGAATAATTTAAGGGCAGAATCAATCGAATAATCCAGTGCTGTTGCAAGCCATAAGTAGGCCAACAATATTGTACCAGTAAGCTAAATTTACAACAACTTATCTAGGCAGAAAAGACAAGGCCAGCTTTTGAAAAGGTCCAAGGAGCACTACAAATCTAATTTCAGACGAACATGTCAGAAACACACTTGTACACTTTCAACAAGACCTTTAGCTAAATCTATTAATGAAAAAACATTGTATTAAAGCAATTAGGTCATTAAAATAACTACTAAATCACACATTTACAGTGAGCTACAAAAGTATTGGGACAGTGACATGTTTTGGCTCTGTACTCCAGCAATACAATGACTGAGGTTAAAGTGCAGACTGTCAGCTTTAATATGAGGGTATCTGTATCCATATTGGGTGAACCGTTTAGAAATTACATCCCTTTTTGTACATAGTCCCTCCATTTTAGGGGACCAAAAGTATTCACTTACATGTGTATTAAAGTAGTCAGAAGTTAAGTATTTGGTCCCATATTCATAGCACGCATGAGTACATCAAGCTTGTGACTCTTCACATTTGTTGGATGCATTTGCTGTTTGGGTTGCGTTTCAGATAATTTTGTGCCCAATAGAAATGGTAAATAATGTATTGTCATTTTAGAGTCACTTTTATTGTAAATAATATGTTTCTAAACATTCTAAATTAATGTGGATGCTACCATGATTACGGATGATCCTGAATGAATTGTGAATAATGCTGCGTGAGAAAGTTAGACACACAAATATCATACCCCCCCAAAAAAATGCTAACCTCCCCTGTTTGTTGTAATGGTGAGGTTAGCATGTCTTGGGGGTATTTGTGCGTCTGTAACTTTCTCACTCATCATTATTCACAATTCATTCAAAACTATCCGTAATGATGGTAGCATCCACATTAATGTATAAGTGTTTAGGAATAAAAAAGGACAAATATTATTTACCTTTAATTGCTATTGGGCACAATATAATCTCAAACACAACCAAAACAAACAGAAAATGCATCCAAAAGTTTGTAGAGTCACAAGCTTGATGTAATATTTGCGTGCTAGTAATATGGGACCAAATACTCAACTTTGGACCAATTTAATACACAAGAGAATTTGGGGGGACTATGTACACAAGTGCTGTAATTTC